AAAAAAAAAAAAAAAAAAAAGAATAGCAGTGGGGTGGGGGAGTTGTATGAAGGGGTTCAAAAGGTACAAGCCTCCAGTTAGGAGATAAACAGGTACTGGGGATGTAATGTGCAACATGATGACCATGGTTGACACAGGTGTATGGTACGCTTGCTTGAAATTTGCAAAATAGATGATATATAATATATATACATACACATGAAGAGATGATGTTAACTAAACTTATTGTAAGCATTTTTCAATATACATATGTGTCATTATGTGGTACACCTTAAACTTATAGGGTACTCTGTGTTATTTATATCTCAATAAAACTGGGGGGACAAAAAAGAGTAATGGCCTGTCCCCTCCAGCCACACTCCATTTGACTCCACTGGATTGATGCCAAGAAGCACCTTTCCTATTGCAGAGGGTATCCCCAAACTGCCCATTGATAAACAGTGCAAAGACCTTAGGGGCCTACTACCTCCCCCCTCCAAACAGTGGGTAAACCTAGTTTCCATCACACAGACCCCTCTTACCAATAAGCCAGCATTTTTCATGGCCAGGGGAAGCCCCAGGAGTCCTGTGCCAATGTTGCATTTCAGTAAATGGATCAAAGTTTGCATTCTCCTGTAGGGAAGAGTGGGGAGACAAGAGGGTTAGTGGGTGGGAAAGGTGATCCAAAGCTCAGGCTCCTTCCAGCATCTTCAGCACCTGCCACCCTTTGGGAGGAGGGACAAAACCCGATGAGGTGAACTCTGGAACATCTGATCCAGGGCTGATGCTAGTTTAGGTGACTCAACACATACTTAACCCACAATAGGCTCGAAAGAAAAGGTTGACAATTGCTACCATTCTGGATAAGCCCCTAGTATCAGTTTATTCATTAATTCATCTAATGATTTCTTTCAGTTTATTCACTAAAATAATTTAAAAAAATTTTTTTTAACGTTTATTTATTTTTGAGACACAGAGACAGAGCATGAACAGGGGAGGGGCAGAGAGAGAGGGAGACAAAGAATCTGAAGCAGGCTCCAGGCTCCGAGCCATCAGCCCAGAGCCCGACGTGGGGCTTGAACTCACGGACCGCGAGATCGTGATCTGAGTTGAAGTCGGACGCTTAACCGACTGAGCCACCCAGGCGCCCCTAAAATTTTTATTGAGACCTACTAGGCCTTGGCATCTAGATGGACAATGAAATAATTAATGATTTTCTTAATTTATAGAGTAATTATTGGTGCCAGTTTATTAATTCATTCACTAGAAAAAAAAACATACCTTCTCCTGCTATATGGAGTATTTACTGGTTCTAGTTCATTCCTTCATCCGTTTACTCAACCAATATTCCTGTGAACTGTTCCATGCTCTGCATTGGATGCAATTTAGTAACAATTGTTATTGTGCATACAGAATGCTAACTATGTGTCTCATAGGGTGCTGGGTACCAGGGTTCTAAATGCTCTCCATGCCTGTGCTGGCAGTTTCTGCTAAGGTACCACCCATTCACTGTGGGGGGGTGGGGGGGGGTGGAAGGTGGGGCAGGATCATGAGAAGAGAATCAAGAAGGAACTGAAATGAAAAGCTGAGTGCAAGAGCAATGAACTCAGAGGTAAGGAGCACTGATTTCTGAGTTCTAGCTCTGCCATTAACCTATGAAATTTGGTTACTACTTTGGAAAGACCCTTAGCTGCTTACATTTCTGTTTCTTCATCTGCCAAAAAAGAAAGATAGAGGGAATAATTATTGCCCTGCCTACCTCCCAGGGAAGTGCTAAGAATCAGAAGAGGTAATGACATGATGAATCTTGGAATCGTGAAGTGCTTCTAAGATGTGAGGCATCATCACCATCACCACCACCATCATCATCACCATTCTCGTCCTCATCAGCGACACTACCACCTTTGGTCTGACGTTATGGTGCCTACCTGCTAGAAGGGCCTCCTTGAAGGGGAAGTAGAGCTGGGTGGATAGAAAACAGATAAGAAAGGGCTGGTTGAAGCAGGTGAACGTGTCCCTTCCTTGTGGAATATGGTGCCTTGAGGAGGCCTTTGGAGGTACCTCCTTGTGCAGTCTTGGAACTGTCTAGAGGCAGCCTAGCATGGTCACACAGCTAGTCCCTTAGAGACTGTGCTCATGTCTCTAGGTCTTTGTCTCAGTGGTTAGGGAGTCAGGGCCAGTTCAATACCGACCTGGGAGAGGGTTGGGACCACCCCCCCCCCGACTTCTTGCGTCTTCATTAGCTCAGTCTATTCACCTGAGGATGGTGGGGGGGGGGCCCTGTTATACTTTCACTTCCAAGAGGCCATTTTTATAAACTTTATTTCTTGATAACTGCAATCATTGGAAAATATGTCAAAGCAAAAAGCAAAACAAAACACCACTTTTTATCTTTCATCAATTACTTGATAGTAGTGTCTCCAAAAGGCGTGCTCTGTCTCCCCGCTTCCTGCCCTCCGTCCTTCCATCTCCCATTTCTTTCCTACGGCAGCATCTTGTCCAAGTTGAATCAGATCTCTTGGAAAAAGTGAGACCAACTTTTGGAGAAATGATGTGCCCTAGCTAACAGCATCCTAGATCAGGGACTTGGAGAATAAAATACATGTTGGGATTTTTAAAAGCATAACTTTATTTTTCCTTGAAAAATGATACATTGCCCTTATAAAAACAAAATAGTGAAATTTCACTAACTGGAAATAACCACTGTTAGTATTTTGGCTAACATTCCTCTGGGCATTTGTGTCTGTTTTGAAATGCACTCAAGTTTACACAAGGAGAGCCATTATAATACTGTATCCTATATTAATTTTATGAATAGTGTGTCCTTCACGCTTTCCACCAACATAGGTTTTCTTCATCACTTGTAATGGCTGTGTATATAGGTATCACATTTTATTTAAATAATCTCCTATTGTTTCCAAATTGTCAATATTATCATTGGTGCTTCAATAAAATTATCATGCACACTTGTGTTATTATCTCATTTGGAAAAATTCCTAGAAGTGGTATTTATCCATCAAAGGATATACTTATTTATATCTACACTTAAAAATACCTAAGTAACACACAGTAGGAAACTCAAAAGGTAAAACAAAAACGAGAACCAAGAAACCTTACATAGTGCATATAAATCTCTCTGCCTCTCAGTTTCCCAATTCTTTTACCCCTAAGGAGCCACTGCAGCCAGTTGTGTGTGTGTGTGTGCATGTGTGTACTTCCAAAGGAAGCATATACCAAATAAGTATTTGCATGGTTTATTTTAAATTTATTTATTTAAATTCAAGTTAGTTAACATACAGTGTAGTATTAGTTTCAGGAGTAGCATTTGTATGTTTTATATAAATACGTGTTAGGATTTGACATACAACATTGCTATCTGGAAAGGTCCCAGCTTAATTCTTCCTAAAAGGTCTAGAGGAAGGACATTTCCTGACATCCTTATCAACACTGGGTATGGTCACTTACAACCTCATTATGCCCAAGGTTATTATCTGATCTGATTAGTAGATAAGAGTCTAACTGGCAATAAAGTTCTAAGAAAAAGTTCCATGTGTCTGAGTTTATAGCAGTGAAAGTAGGGACATGGGGCCAGGAGGGTTTATAGGGGAGAAGGAGGGAGAGAATAAATACTAGTGGATGTAGCAAGAGAGGAGAGCAGAGGAGACTGGAAGGGTGAGGAACCAGCCTACGACAGAAAAGCGTTCCTAGAATCAAGCTCATGCGGGGGATGGCTCCTCTATCTGGGTTCTCGGTGACAACCGGGAAGCACATGTAATACCCAGAGCCGCACGGATCAACCTTCTTAGTTTCTGCTTTCATGTTTCCTCCATGCGTCTCCTGTTCCATGGGGGTGCAGGTGTTAGGAAGACAAAAGTGGGTGGATGTGGCCCAGAGCTGTGAAGGCAGCCGCGCTTGACCTCAGATCTAGAAGGGCAGGACAGCCACTTACGATAAGCCGCTGGCTTCCTCAGCAGGATGGACGTTCTCTGCAGTGACATTGCTGTTCCTCTCCAAAAGTGACTTGGACCCATCATCCAAGGAGCTGTGGAAGTCCCTTCCAAGCAGTGACATCTTCAACAAGGTGGGATGGGGGTGGCAGCTCAGGGGAAAGGCCTGTAACAGCCTTGAACCAGCCTCCCATGGGTTTTTCTCCAGAGAAACCAGGGCTGCAGGCCCAAGACACTGGTTCCCGTTTCCTGAGGGTGCCTGACCCAGACTGACGCCCAAGTGTGCGGATCAGTGGAGCGCTGGTGGCAGGAGAAGCTGATGTTGACTGGGCCTCACCTGGCTTTGGGGGCACTTATGAGAGTCTCATCTCGGCATGACCCTCAGTGCCCTTCACGATCGGTCGGCCACACGCCAGGACTCCTCCGGGCTTCCGGTCCCTCCCAGTTCAGCGCTTAACACTATAGGGCAAAGTGAACAGTGTGCCCGGGAGGAGGAAGGCACCATTGGACTGCAGGTCCTGGTGCCTTGATGTGGGGCCAGGCTCCGTGCCCATCTACCTCTGCGAGGAGGAGGCCAGAGCTACCTCACAATGGAGGCTGCCCAGCCAATAAGGATGCAGTCCCAGGATGCAGGTGTGGCCCAACCCAGGGCGGGAGTGAAGAGTGGCTCTTCCTGGGCCCCAGTGCTACCTGCTCAGAATTCCTGTACAGGAAGGGTGTGTGGACTGTGCCTATTTGGAATGGAGTACAAAAGTAAACTTAAAAAAAATCATTTATTCAATAATATCTATCTGTCTATTAAGATATATCTATTGGGCATCTAAGATATACTAGGCACTGTTCCGCCTGCTGGGAATACATTAGAGTAGAAACATACTACAGTCTCTGCCCTCATGGGACTACAGTCTAGTGAGGAGACAGATAATAAATATGTCAAGTATGTATTGTTGGTAATAAGTACTATAGAGAAAAATGATGCAGTAAAGGGGAATGGGAAGGGCTGGCTGGGGGGAGGGTTGCAATTCTTTTTTTTTTTTAAATAAGTTTTAAAAAATGTTTATTTATTTTGAGAGAGTGTGCATGCATGAGTGGGGGAGAAAGAGGGGGGGAAAGAGAGAATCTCAAGCAGGTTCTGCATTGTCAGCACAGAGCCGATATGGGGCTCAAACTGACAAATTGTGGGATCATGACCTGAGCCGAAATCAAGAGTCAGATGCTTAACCAACTGAGCCACCCAGGCACCCTGGGGGGGTTGCAATTCTAGAGTGGGTGGTCAGAGAGAGCCTCACTGAGAAAGTGACACCTGGGTAAAGGGCTGAACGGGATGAGGGAGCATGCCTCATGTATGTCTTGGGTGCGAAACTTAAAGCAGAGGGAAGAGTAAGTACAAAGGTCCTGAGGCAGGAGAGGGCCTGGGTGTTTCGGGAATGGTAGGAAGGCCATGTGGCTGGCTCAGCATGCACAGAGGAGAGGGGAGATGAGTAGAGTGGGCATATGTCTGGTTTGCCCAGGACTGTGTTGGTGTGTGTTTATTGCCTGGACATAATTACCAACAGTGCCTCTTTTCTGGTTTGGATGAGAAATTACATGGTCACACCAGAGATGCACTTAACATAAGTGGAAGTAATGGAAGGGGGTGGAATGGGACGGGCAGGAACTTGTAGGCCACTGTAATGCCTTTAATTTTTACTCTGAGATGAGGAATCATGGAGGGTTTGAGAAGGGAAGTGATGTGACTTGCATTTTAACAGGATCTCTCCAGGCCATTTGTTGGGAGCAGATGGAAGGAGGGCAAGGGCCAAAGCGGGGAGATAATTAGGAGGCCACTGCAATGAGCCCGGTGCTAGTCAACAGTGCGGTTTAGACCAGGGCGGTAGCTAAGGGATGATAAGTGCCTGAAGTCTGGGTACTTTTATTTTTATTTAATTTTTTAAATGTTGATTCATGTTTGAGAGAGAGTGTGAGTGGGGGGAGAGGCAGAGAGAGAGGGAGACAGAGGATCCGAAGTGGGCTATGCGCTGACAGCAGAGAGCCCGATGTAGGGCTCGACCTCACAAGCCGTGAGATGACCTCACAAGACCTGAGCTGAAGTTGTGCTCACCCAGCTGAGCCACCCAGGCACCCCAGTCTGTGTACTTTTAAAAGGCAAAGCCTAGAGGATGTGCTGATGGGTGTGAAGAAGGGGTATAGAAGGGTATAGAAGGAGGGGAAGGGTCAAGAGGACCTCACGAATTTTGACACAACGGGAAGGAAGGAGTTGGGGCATGCAAGCCTCGTTTCAAAGACGCACTTGCGGGCACGCCGTACTTGGCTTGTTCATTCGCGATGGTCTAGACAGGCTATGTATGAAGATCATGGCGGCCAGGTGCTGCCCATGGCAACTGGGTATGGCCGCAAAATCGACTCTTAGGGCTTCTCCCTTCCTCTGAATGTCGAATGAGACTTCTCCCTCCTCTGATGCGCTAAAGTCTTGTTCTCGCATTGAGAATTCCCTTCCCCTACAGCATGTATTCGCTGCTTTAATACTTCTTAGAGTATGCCTACCCTGTCAGGCACTGCAAGCTAGCAAGGAGCACTTTCAAGGAGTCTGCGTTTCAGTGGAAAGTAGGGAGAGGACACGAAACCAGAAAACTAGACAGTGAGAGGTTATAACAAAAGCCATGCTCATTTTAAAGCAAGCAAAACACAACTCAAAACTACCAAAAGAAGACAGAATCACCGCCACCATCCAGGGAAGACAACTGTGAACACTTGGATGTGCTTTGTTCACGCACACGTGAGCACTTGCACACAGCTCGCCACCAACTTAATGCGTAATAAAAAAACCCTGTGATACATGTAACATCGAATTGACCCTCTTAACCATTTTTAAGTGTGCAGTTCAGTAATGCTAAATGATCCCCAGCCTTGTGCAACCGATCTCCAACCCTCTTTTCTTCTTGCAGAACGGAACGTCTGTACCCATTCAACAGCCGCCTGTTCCACCCACCAGCCCACCCCCGCCCTTCTGGGTTTTTATGAGTCTGACTACTCCCGGTACCTCATAAAACTGACACAATGCATCATTTGTCTTTTGGTGACTGGCTTGTTTCACTGGACACGTTTTTGCTCTCTTTCATTTTGACCACCACCATTTGCGCCCTCTCTTGGGCCCTACAAAGGTGTTGTGCACAACTGTGTGAGTCCTAAACCCAACTGTCACTGCATGCTTGACCACCCACAAGTCACTTCATATCTCTAAGCCTGTTTCCTTACCTGAAAATAGGGACAATGACAGTACATACCTCATAGGGTGGTTGTAAGGATTAATCGGGAGATAATCCCATGTAAAACACAGTAAGCGCTCAGTGAGGGAAGGAAGAAAGGGTTTTCTATGATTCTTGATTCAAGCACAAGCTCTGAAACTTAAAAGAATCAGTTGGGATGAGGAGAGGGTGGAGAGCCTGTGTGTGTGTGTGTGTGTGTGTGTGTGTGCAGACCAGTACCAACAAACAAACAAAAAAAACCCTTAATATCCTCACACTCAGACACAGTTCTAATACTTGGCATTTTTTAGTGTTGCTGACAATGACTAACGAGTCTCACTAGCTTACTTTGATCAGTTACATCTATGTTACTAAATTTTTTTTTCTTTAAAAACATTTTTTTTAACATTTATTTATTTTTGAGAGACAGACAGAGACAGAGCATGAGCAGGGGAGGGGCAGAGAGGAAGACACAGAATCTGGAAGCAGGCTCCAGGCTCTGAGCTGTCAGCACCGAGTCTGACATGAGGCTTGAACTCACGAATCGCAAGATCATGACCTAGGTTGAAGTCGGACACTTAACCGACCGAGCCACCCAGGCGCCCCTAAATTTTTTTTTTCTTTGCAAAGTTGAGCTTTAGCCAGATTAGCCTAAGTGATAAGATTAGCCTGAGCATCTTACACTGTAGGGGCTTGTGCCTGGACAAGGAGTGTGACAGTTCTTTAACAACAGGACAATCTTAAACTTAGCAAGGTTGGTTGGGGTGATGGTGGAATATGGTGGGAGAGGCGAGCTCAGAGAGAGGAAGAATGCTTTGCCGCAGCTCTGAGCCAGTCAGTGGGAGGGCTTTGGGTCTGGTGATGAAACAGAGAAGTACAGGGTGGAAGTGATGAGCCAGCTCCCTGGCCAGGTAGGTTGTGTACCATTGCATAGGCTAAGGGTGTCCTGCCTCCCAACAGGAACTCTGCAGACAGACTATGGGATGTGGGTGTGGCCTGCTGGCCCTCCTCCCACCTGAGCAAGGCTAGTGCTCATGAAGTACCTTCTTGAAGTCTAGCAGGTAGAAAGTAACACACAAAAGGAGCAGACCAGGATTTAGGAATTAGGGCAGACACTCCCCCAATATCTTCCCTAGGCCATATAGGGAGGATCACGGTTGAAAAGAAGCAAGAAAGGGCCTTTCAAACACTGTCTTGAAACGAAGACTGAAACAAGCATGGGTCATTCCCAGAAATTACAGGAAGTCCAATGGGAAACTCTCTCCCCTGGGACTATAGACCTGCCTCTAATATCTACTCAGTTATTTGGGGGCACTTTCCCAGTTTTAGTAATTTTAGGGATGAAGGAGCATTTAGAGATGCAAGGTTGAGCTGGTGTTTCAGGTTGGCTGGCTCTTGCTGTCAGCTGAGCGCAGACATGAGAAAAGGCCCAGGACTGTCAAGGAGGCAGGTCGGAGTGGAAGGAGGGAAAGGTTCAGTGTCAGGAGACCCAAGTTTTACTCAAAATCCAGTTTGATGGCACCACCTGTGGAAAGCCATACTTTGTCCTCAAGAGCAGTTAGTGTCCCTCTGCCCTTATAAGGACCCGTTATGGTATCGACTTAGGTGATTACCTATAATTCTTCCCCCCTTGCCTCCCCCCTGGTGAATAGTAAATTAGCTTTTTTGAGGGCAGGGATGCTTTCTCACTCATTGGTATATCTCCTTTAGAGTATCAGTTAACTTTTGCTGCATAAAAACTCCCACTTCTTATGGCTTAAAACCACATTTATTATTTCTCACAATTCTGTGGATCATCTGGGCAATTCTTACGACTTGGGTCAGCTTGACTGGAGCTGGATGTAGTCTAGGAGGCTTCCCTCATGTGTCAGAAGTTGGCAGGCTGGTTGATCTGAGGGATGGGCTCAACTGGGATGATTCGTTTCTGTGCAACATGGCTTCTCATCCTCCAGTAGGCTAGCTCAGGCTTCTTCCACTGGTGGATCTTCACCCCATAGTGTAGGGAGAAATGAAAGTCCTGATGCACAAGCCATCACCAAATCTCTGCTTGCGTCACATTTACTGATGTTCAACGGGCCCAAATAAGTCACAAGGGCAAGACCAGATTCAAGGAGTAGAGACATGGATTTCACCTCTTGATGGGAGGAGCTGCAAAGTCACATTGTCAAGAGGAATCTGTGGCCATTTTTGCAACCTACTATAAGAACCTTGAACTACGCTTGACACACCGTAGGGAGAATGCTTGTTGCAAGAGTTAAGAGGTAAATAATGCCAAATACTGTAATGGCATTATCCATTCCCCTACCCCATGCCATTGGCACATCAACTTCCCCATGCCATTGGCACATTGGCACATCAACGTTGGACCTCTTTGCCCTACCCATTTTGACACAGGAGCCATGCATACTTTATTGGATTATAGGTTCTGTCCCCTAGTCTTTGCTCATTGAACAGATCTGGAAAAGGGGAAACCCTTGGTCTACCAGATCAGGGTCAGCCTTAGCCAGCTGCACGTCCTTCTGCCAGTTGCTGTCACTTGGTTTCCCCCTGGTGGCTTCTTCGTGCCTAGCACCACTCAAGGTGACGTGAATTGCCCAAAAGTTGGATGGAATCAAGAGCCTTCCATGGGAGAGCTCTCGACTTAATGGAAAGCTAGAGATGGAAAGAAAAGGAATAACAGAACCAAATTTTTAAATTACCATCTAGACCCTGTAGCCAGTGAGTCTTTGCTTGTTTCACCATGACTTGGCCCAGAAAAAGGATAAAGCGGTAAAATAAAGATAGTGCATATAAAAGATATCCACATCAGTATAAGTCAGGCGCTGGTGGGTACGGGACAGTGCCATGTTCACTGAATAAAAACGGTAGAGTTGGAAAAGGTGAGAGGGCCTCCCGAGAGGATCAGCTCGTCCAGGGCCTGGTAGGTTCCTGCCACAAAGCCTGCAAAGCCCAGGATGCTGATCAGGGCGTCCTTGGCGATGGTGAGGGGGCTCATGCCCTCCGAGTAGTAGGTGGTGATCTCCAGGAGGGGCGGGATGATGAGGGCCAGGGCGCTGCTGCTCACGGACCCCACCAGGGAGAGGACCAGGTCCAGGCGGGGGACGAGGATGGCCAAGGTGCCTGCAGGAGATGATATGCGATGCATGGATTTTTGGGACTTAGCCAAGTTTTTCAAGTTTGGTTTTAAAATCCTTTTGTTAAAACACAAACCAGCTGTTTCTCACATTTAATTGCATAAGTAAAACATCGAAAGTCCTGTAATACTCTGATCATATTCACTAGAGGTTACACATTAAAAATCTGGTGTGTCTCAGGGCCCCTGGGTGGCTCAGTCACCTACGTGTCTGACTCTTGACCTCGGCTCAGGTCATGATCTCCCGGTTTGTGGGTTCAGGCCCCACATCAGGTTCTGCAGAGCCTAATGGGGATTTCCCTCTCACACACACAAAATAAATAAACTTAAAAAAAATTGGTGTGTTTTTAATGATTTTTCTAAAATATGCATTCATACTTATTGGGAAGAGAAATCTTCCCTCTGCCTACTTAGGCCGGGTGGGGGCGAGGGGAGGCAGAGGCTGGGGATGAACTGACAATGGATTAACCGGTCAAAAGACACTTTATTTAGGGTTAGGGAACCTTCAGATGAGTTGGCTCCTCCCAGAACAGCCAAAGATAGGGGTCCACATGCCTGTCTCATAGGGTGAAAGGAGTGGGCAGAAAGAGCATCTATGTAAGAAAAAGTGGAAGTTATAACTGGTTCCTATCATTTATTTAAGGAATTTGTCTGTGATGATGGTTGGTCTTTTTTTCTGGTTGAAAACCTTCCAGAGAGGGGATCTATAGA